TAAAGCCCCAGAATCAAAGTCATCGACACTGATTTCAAATTCAACGACAACACAAATATCAACAACAAAATAAAACATTCACACAACACAAAATCAAGCATAAATTGAAAAATTAGAGCTTACCGAAGATACAGAAGGTAGCAACGACGACAACGCAAGACCAAGGGTCTTCCGAAGTCGAATTGTTCCTCACGTTCTCAGATGCAACAATGCTTCCATGGCGGTAATCGTAATCAGAACGATTCCATGGTGGACGATCACGATGATCAAAACCGGAATCGTGGCCGTGATGTTCAAAGCGATTATACCCGGTTTCTTCACGGGCCACAGGCGGAGAAGAAGAAGAAGACGCGAGAGAATCCGGTAGAGACATGATGTCGCGAATCGATGAGAGGATTGAAGAATTATCGAATAGAAGAAGGTAAAACCCTAACCGCAGGTTTGGGGTTAATGCTGTTAAGGAACGAACGATGATGACAGAGATTTGAACGACGGGTCTTCTCTTTCTTCATCGTCACGTTGAACGGTGGATTCACAAAACTTGGAGAGAGAGAGAGAGAGACGACTTTGGAAAAAGTAAAACATTTCTCTTATTATTTTAATCTAATTTTTTAAAAAGAAAATATAATTTCGATTATCTCTTTTTGGTTTGGAGTTAGGACAGGCTGGTCTGGTCTCGTTTTAGAAAATTACTGTAACACCCCCATGCCCATCTGTCAATCTGTCATCAGCGACGGTATTTGTTGCGTAAATATGACATTTAAGTGAGGGCTTATACGTACATATGAGACTCGAGTCACATACCCGGACACAGTCTTTCGTTTTTCTTTCCAGCCTGGTTTTCGACATACGGAAAAAAAAAAACCAGATCTACAAAAAAAATCCCCAAATTGAATTTCAAATTCGAAGCCTCAAGAAACCCTAATTTTTTTCAATCAACCTGAGGTTTGGGACCTCGTACATTGCACGCGATGGGAGATTTCAATCTCGCTCTCGTGATTGTTGCGATCGTAGTTTGTGTCCTTGTTTTCATCTCCAGTATCTACCTCCTCGTCAACTATCAGCATCCAGATGATGCAAACCAGGCTTATTTCCCCAAATTCGTTGTTGTGTTTGGTTTATCGATTGCTATGATCTCCATTCTCATGTTACCGGCGGATGTGGCTAACCGGCATGCTTGTCGACATTCGATTTATAATGGCGCTTGTAATCTCACCTTACCCATGAAGGAGCTTTGGCTTGCCGTTTACATTGTTGACGCTGTGCTTGTCTTCTTCATTATCCCCTTCGCTATGTTTTTCTATGAAGGCGACCAGGACAAGTTTGTTTCTCCACGAATTTTAATTTTTTTGAGTTATTATTAGTTGGTAATGGAAAGTTGTTGATGTTTTTGTTTGTGGGCTTGCGTTTTTTTTTACTGTAGGGCTCTTGGGAAGAGGATAAAAAGTGCTTTGATTTGGGTGGTTACTACAGCTGTTGTTTGTGCTCTGGTGCTTGGAATTTTATACGGTTAGTTGTTACTGTGCTTTGGTTTCTTTTGAGCTTCATATTCTTCCTGGTTTGATTAAAGTTCTGAGATTATGTTAGAGTAGTGATTGACCAATTGTGGGATTGTGAAAGGGATGATCCTCTCATGTTCTTCTTATTTGCATTGTTGATTTAAGATACTTGGCTGCAATTTATAATGTGCTTCTACAAATGTATTAGGAGTCATTGGGAAGGTGGACTTCTCTGTAAGGCACTTGTCTTCTGCCACAACGACTTTCCCTACTTCATGGCAGTTTTCAAATAATCAACCTTGCATTGGTAACACTGCTCGTCAGGTAATTTTTGAAATTTTATTGCATTCTTGGTATTAGTTTTTATTTCGTTAGTCTCTATGCAGAATATTATCAGTATCTAACATATTTTCTGTTCTCCCTGGTATATTGATTGGCAGTGCTCAGCATATACAGCTAATGCTGCGTCTGAAAAGACATGGTCCATGCGTACTACGTTTCCAGAATATGTTGTTGCTCTTGCTACAATTGTTGGGTCAGTGCTCTTCACGGTATGTACATCCCTCTATTAGGTGTTTTGTGTTAAAAGTTGCACCTCATTGTCTTGGAAGGCATATAATCTCTCTTATATTAAGGCTTGGTTGTGTTCTCTTGTAGTTAAAAGACTTTTGGTAGCTGTCATTTTTTGGTTTCCTCTTAAGATTCTGAGAAACTCTTTTATCTCAAATGTTGTAGATATTTGGTGGTGTTGGTATTGCTTGCCTACCCTTGGGCCTTATCACTGCATTCATCAGGCGACCAAAGGCTGTTATCACTCGGTCACAGTATATAAAGGTTCATTTGTGCTGGTTATTGTTGTCTACTTGTCTTCATGCAAAGCTTTTCTAAAGAATACATGTACACTTCGGGTAGTTGGCAGTGTTAGTGGCCTGACAAGTCATCTAATTGTTTTTCAGGAAGCAACTGAACTAGGTAAAAAGGCAAGAGATCTAAAGAAAGCAGCTGATGCACTTCACCAGGAAGAACGAAGTGGTGCTAAGGGAAGGAAGTGGAGGAAAAATGTGAAAGCAGTTGAAAAGGTACACCATCATATCTAAGGGTTTGGGGTCTTATATCAAATCTGTTCCATGTCTACAAAGGTGGCTGATACCTCTGTTGATATTGGTCGCTGATGTGTAGTGGAGCTTTTGGCCGTAGGGGCAGTTACTTAGGTGATCATTCATAGTAAAAAGCTCGCCAAAAAGTAGATACCAGTTCTGCTATAGGCCCACTAATATTGGCAGCTTTATGCATATCTGATTGTAGATTTGAAGTCTTAACTACTCTTAATTGGATTTCATTGCTTTCATGTACCCTGTAGGAGTTGCTCCAATTGGAAGAAGATGTGAACCTCTTAGAAGAGATGTATCCGCAAGGAGAGCAGGTAAAGATGACTATACCTCAGTATTTTATCTATCTAAGGAATTCTGTAATCCAACATTTTCCTTGCCTCGTCCTTTTTCCAGGCAGAGACTGCTTGGGCCTTCACTGTCCTGGGATACTTGGCCAAGTTTATTCTTGGAATCTTAGGGTTTGTATTTTACTTAATCTTCTTAATACTTTGATGCTTTCACTCTATTAGTCCTCGGTTAAGCTCTTATTAAATAATTTCTTTTTTTGCTTGTTGAAGATTAATTGTTTCTGTGGCTTGGATTGCTCACATCATCATATATCTACTTGTTGACCCTCCCCTCTCTCCTTTTCTTAATGAAGTTTTCATCAAACTGGATGACGTCTGGGGTAACTTCATTTTCTGATCTTGTTATGCTACTCTATACCTTGTTCCTTTTGTGTCTGACCTGGCTCTGTGTTCATACATGTGACATTTTCTTGTTCACTAGGTCTCCTGGGCACAGCTGCCTTTGCTTTCTTCTGTTTCTATCTCCTACTTTCTGTTATTGCTGGGGCAATGATGCTTGGTTTGAAGCTGGTCTTCATTACCATTCATCCAATGAAGTAATTCATCTTGTAGTTTTGAAATGTTTTTTGCTATTTCAGAGATCTTTTCTGTTTTCTTTTGGTTTCTCATAAGCCTAATTAACTTGTTTCAGATGGGGAGCCACTCTTATGAACTCTTTTCTCTTCAATGTCGGTCTCATTCTCCTCTGTTCTATCAGGTAGGCTTCTTAGTTCTCATATTTCCCGTCAGCTGATAGCACCAAAAGTATGTTGTAACTTTTATTCTTACAATCGACTATTGTGGCTCACTGAAATTCTAGTGTGATTCAATTCTGCGCCACTGCATTTGGATATTATGCTCAAGCCACCGCCGCTCAGGAGATATTTGGCCACACTTTGCAGTCCCTTCGCGGTATTAAGTACCTCTACAAGTAAGTAATATCGGGTTTTTGCAAATAAAGGTCTCACTTGTGTACATAAGACTGATGATAATCGTCTCTTTCTTATCGGTATCTTTCAGGTACAATGTGTTCCAGATCGGGTTTGTTGTCCTCGCTGGACTGACCTTTTTATATTACATAGCCTTTGTAAGTCTCTTAAATCCTCTCGGTGTTCTGTTCCATTAAATAGTTTTGTGTCATTAGTCATAGATCTTTAAACTCATGTTCTCGGGGGGTAATTTGTGGCAGGGATGGAGAAGAAAAAAGCCGAGCGGTAGATTCCAGCTCTCTACCTAATGTAAATCTCTTCTTTTGATTTTATCCTTTTTGTTTCCTCGTCTTTGGGATCGATCGCGTGCCGCTGAGGATTGCTGTGTCCACAATTATACCGAGATTGGTCTCATGATCTGTGCAAGTGGTCTTATATCATAAGAACAAGCACCTGCCCAAAAAGCTTCTCTTTCTTCTGCTTCTCTTTGCTGCTGAGGTTTGTTTTCATTTCACTTGAATGTAATATTATTCCTTTTCTCTTTTCTTTTCTTCTGTATCTATTGTTTTGTTTTTTTTTTGATTAATTACGAGAAAGATCTCTGTGTCCCCGTCTTCTCATGGTCTATTGTATTATTTCGAATACTTTCTTGTAACCATTACTTGGTTGAGAGTTTAGACTGTCGGAACAAATTCGTGTGTATAGTGAGACTCGAGGTGATGACAAGAGACTTCATACCATTGTTGCATTTCTATTTTTTTGGAAACCAATTTCTCCTTATTATGGACCTATCTCAAATTCTCAATGGTATTTTGACAAGAGTGTTGATTTTAGCTTTTCGGTTGTTTTGGTTCGGCAAAATCGTTTATTTGGTTTGGAGAAATCTTTCCAAAATTGTAACCTAAAGTGCTTTTTGTTTGGCAATTTTTGATTCGGTTAAAGTTTGGTGCCGGTTTAGATTTAAAAAAATAACTAAATATTGTGTATTTACAATTTTTAGAAAAGGTATATTTGAAAATTTTAAATAACAATTTGAGAGCTAAAAGATAATTTACGAATTGAGAAAAAAAAAAAAAAAAAAAAAAAAAGTTAAATAGGACTTGATTTGGCACGGTTTGGTATGTGGGTTTTGGCAATTTGGTATGGTAAAGAAAAATTCCGAACATTCTGGGACGATCAGAGGGTCTCAAAGATGGGAACACATTATACAAGCCGTTTCTGGCTAGTGGTAAACAACTCAACGAGTGACATGGACATAGCCCTCTTCTCGCCGTCGTCGCTCTTTGCCGCAGACGGTGACTCCTCCGGTCAGTGAAATCTCTCTTCTTTCAATTTCTGGTTTGATCGAAGAGAGAGATATACTTAGCGAAGTTAAACTGTATTTTTTATTCTCAGATGGAGAGACGACGGAGACGAGACAAAGCTTCGTTGAGAGAAATCATCAGTTTCCTGGAATTGTAATTTCTTCGCTCCCGATTGAGCTTCTATCGTCTTCTCCTAGTAATTTCAATTCTATATTTAGTTTATGTTCTCCGTTGAAGAGTGAAACCTGAGCTTCTGATTTCAAGAACTTTGAGTTCATATAGTGGATTAGGTCTTAGATTGCTTTTGCTTTGGGGTTTAACTAATCATGTTTCCTTGAAGAAACGAATTCATGAATTCGCTATTAATGGAACAGTCTTTTGTAAAATAGTTTAGTACATCTTTTTACTGAGATTGAGGTTTAAGGTTAGTGTTAGTATTTCAGACAAGTTTATGATTATTTGTTGTTTGAATCTTGAATAGGAATTGCAAATCCGGGAATTTGGTTTCCACCAGCTGAATGCAAACTTGCTGTGGCCAGGTACATTTGCCTTTGCTGATTGGTTAGTGCAGCATCGACACTTGATCCAAAGGCGGCGCTGTCTCGAGATAGGAAGGTACTTCCTTGTCTTTTTCAATTCCACTTTTGTGTTCTTGGAATCCCAAAAGATGATTGATTTGTGTCTTGGTTACGATTTGCTTATATGCCAGTGTCAGTCCACTAATCAGTTTTTATTTTATTTTGCTTGTCTTAAAATCAAATGGGCAGTGGCACAGGGGCACTAGCTATATTTCTTAAGAAAGAGTTCGATCTCGACATAACTACTTCAGATTACAATGATCAAGAGATTGAAGACAATATTGTTCATAACTGTATTGCAAACAAGATAATCCCTTCTCTGCCTCATATCAAGCGTGAGTTTCCTTATCCCTCACAATGAACCACATTCTTATTTAGGAAAAGTGCCTAGTGTCAATTTGATTATTTTTGTTTTTCTTACATTCTCGTCTATTATGACAGATACATGGGGCGATGAATTTCCAATCTCGGAACCAGATTGGGATTTGATCATAGCCAGTGATATCCTTCTATGTAAATACCCTTTTCTCATTCGGTTTATCGGGAAATTATACATATACATTTTTACATTCGGTTTTTCGCAGATGTGAAACAGTACCCAAACTTGATAAAGTCTCTGACTTTTCTTCTCAAAACCTACAAACCAACCAATGTCGTTAGTCCAGCAGAATGCAAGCTAAATGGTGAGTATCCCTTTCATCACCACTCACACACACACCAAAAGAAGTTTTAACATTACTCTTTTACCTGTAGGAGCAGACACAGAACTGCCTCATCCTGTGTTCTTAATGAGCTGGAGACGAAGAATTGGGAAAGACGATGAGTCTCTATTCTTTACTGGTTGTGAAGAAGCTGGCCTGGAGGTGAAGCATCTCGGAAACCGAGTTTATTGCATCAAGCTTAGAGATAGTAACCTCTGAAGAATAGATTGAAAAACTATTTGGGATAGACGTATTACTGGTTGGGGGGTTTGTTACTCTCGCAGCTTTCTTGTATTTGCTTTTTGGGTCAAAGTTAAGATGAAATGAGATACCGTTACAGCCTTACAGGGTTGCCCGCGCAATCATTCCATTAGTTTGTAACTAAAGTTTCGTCAAAGTTACTGTATTTCATTCTAGTATAGTATAACAAGAGGAAAACTTAGTTACCAATTAGTTAAGAAAAGAACATGGAATATTTTGTTTCCGTCAATACTGTTAGAACTTAAAACAAAACACGCAAAAGAATCACATTCTTGCTTTGCTGTGAGAAAGTTTGAAATGAACATAAATTGCAATACTTGGCGTGATACATTGTCTTTGTAAACATAAGTTTAATTGCTAGTGTATAAATAGTGACTAAAGCTTTAGGCTTTTTAGCCAATTGTCAAAAAAAAAAAAAAAAAAAAAAACTTGTTAATCTGTAACCCATGGATCCTCTTGACCACGCTCCTTCCTATAGTCTCTTATGCCCACAAGGACGATTTCAAAAAGATGAAGAAAGCTATCACACAATCAAGAGCTCTTATTTAATTTCTGATGCAGCAGACGGAAAGTCCAATCATCGTCACTTGGTGTTTCTTCGCAACCGAAAAGAAGATGGATTACGATACATATTATGTCAGGCTTGTTACAACTTGATTGAAAATCAAACCTATTACATCTGCAGCTACTGCAACTGGAAGAGCTACCACAAAGAATGTGTTGAGTCTCCTTCCAAGTTCCATTCCTCTGATCATCCAAAACATCCACTCCAACTTGTTTGGTTTCCCGGAAATCGGAGACAACATCAAAAACAATGTTGTTCTTGTAGACGTTATCGAGGCCGGCTACTTTACTATTGCTCTATTTGCGATTTTTCAATCGATCCAGTGTGTGTGGGAAAACCAACATCCCTTATTATAGACAATCCAAAAAGGCATAAGCATACCCTCCATTACTTTCCAAGAATATCTGCTTTGGTTTGCGACGTGTGTGGGTTGGAGGGTCATATTGATTACTTATACGTATGTCTCCTATGCGCGCGATTTCATTGTCCATAAACGATGTGTTTACTTCCCATTTGTCATTAAAGTATCCCGTCACAACCATCGTCTCGGTTTCACTTATAAACTTCCTTACGAGAAGTCGACTGATTGTGGAGTTTGTCATACGAAGATAAAAGAAAATTTCGGAGAATACTCTTGCACCAAGGAGGGATGCATTTATGCAGTGCATTCCAGATGTGCGATGCAAAGGAATGTGAGTGACGGGAAAGAACTTGAAGGAGAGCCTGAAGAAGTATATGAAGACACTAAAATGTTTGAGGAGAAAGGCGATGGGATTATACAGCATTCCACTCATCCGTCTCATCCTTTGAGACTTGAAAACAAATTCCACGATGAAAGCAAGCATTGTCAAGCATGCAGACTTCCTTCTTATGATGATCATGGTGGTAATGTGTATCGATGTACGTATGCAATGTGATGATTTCATTTTGCATGAATCATGTGCATATCTTCCTCGTGTTAAACAGTTTATGCTACATGTTCATCCATCGATTCTAGATCCCAGTTATACCACAAATTTTTTCCAATGTTGGAAATGTTATCGTTACTCATGCGGTTTCAAATATGTATGTAGTCGTCCTCGTCAAGAGTGTGATGTGGAGTTAGACATAATTTGTGCTTCTATATGTGAGCCGTTCGATCATCACTGTCATCCACATCCCTTGTTCATTAGTAGTGCTGAATACGAATGCAAAACATGTTCCATCTGCAGTCAATCTAAAAGGGTGCGTGAACCTTTATATTGTGTGAAATGCGATTTTGTTTTGTGCTTTCGTTGTGCCACTCTTCCGCATAAAGCCAGGTATGAACGTGATGAGCATTTGCTCATTTTTTCTTACGAAGAAGATGCAAATGATGATGAGCTTATTGGGCGAGGAAGACATAAATCCAAGGAAAGGGTTATATGCATGCAATAAGTGTGGACTCACACTCCACATCGAATGTTTATTAGGGAGAGATCCGTATATGAAGCTTGGATCATATTCAAATTCGAGAAGAAAGGTGTATATTCTTCCTAACACTTGTTCAACTCGACCTATATGCAAAACATGCCGAAGACGTTGTCCTCACAAAATAAAAATAAAATCATCTCGTGATCCATATACATACTGCTCTTTTGATTGCTACAGAACGTATGGTTTAGCGTTCATGTAACAATTATTGTGTTTACAATGCAACTCCAAATGTAAATATGTAATGTGGGGTTTTTATTTTAAATTGATCCATGTTGTCAAAAGTTAAACAGAATTAAAGAAGAATGCTCCAAGAAATTAAAATAGTATGGTTTCTCTCTCTAAACGCAAAATTATAAGATGGCACAGATATATACAAAAACAATTAATTCCGTAGTTTATGTGTGTGTGGTTTTCTGTTATCAATAAAATTCTAAATCACTTAGTTTATACTATTAAAGTTACGTATTGATGAGACATACATCAATTTTTTAGAAATTTCTAGCGAGTTTCGCTAGATAAAGACACAAAATCATGTCTTTTTTTTTGTTTTCTGTTTTCTTTTTTTTTAAAATTTTGATATGTTTATAGAAACGATGATTATATTCGTAAATTTCGTGGGGGATAAGACACGTAAGACTAATACAACTTAGATGAGTCAACAACCGTACATAACTCCATATTTCTCCCATTTCACTTCTTTGACCGTCATCGGTATGTGATATTTAATTTCATTAGTAAAACACAGGAAGTTTACAAAAGTCTCGAGGTCTTTATAATCGTTAAAAATCAACATGTGCAAGGAGACACACAAAAATTCCAAAATCATTTATATAGTTGCAACTTGCAAGATTGAAGCCATTAATTTCTCCTTATATTATGTATAGTTATAAAATGATAAGACATAGTAAATGATAGACACATAAACATTGACCAAAAGTGTAAAAATGATAAAGAAAGACGTCAACAACAACAAAAAAGGATATAGAAAGAAACGTTCGTTTACACGCGTTCTGTTTATATAAACCCATAAATTACACATTCTTGAAAATTTTCAGATTTTCAAATATCAGATTCAAAGGAAAAATCAAAAAAAGTTTTGTGGGTTTTGACCAGAGAGAGTCAACGAAGAAGATGTCTTCTATCATTACGGAATCGTCTCCGAATCTGTCTCTGCTGGAGAATGGCGGAGGAGGAAGTGATAAGCCGACGGCGGAGATGTCTAGGCGCGTGCGGAGAACGGTATCGACGTCGTCGTTGATAAGGCAGAGATCGGATCTGAAGCTGATCGCGAGAGTACGTTGGGAGTTTCTGAGACGAATCTTGACGAATCTTCAAGAAGTTGTTCTCGGCACCAAATTGTTCATTCTCTTCCCGGCCGTTCCTCTCGCCGTTGTCGCTCACCGCTATGATTGTCCACGTGTACGTTCCAAACAAACTATTTATCAATCGGAATTTAAACCAAACATTCTCTTTTAACTTTGGTATGTTATTGTAATTGCGTGGTGTAACAAAAAAAAAACAGGCGTGGGTCTTTGCGTTGAGCTTGCTGGGATTGACACCTTTGGCCGAACGTATCAGTTTTCTCACTGAGTAATTAATTTGTCTCTCTCTTTTTTTCTTTTTTTTTTCTTTCTATAGTAACGTTATTAATTTACAAACATAATTTTTATATTTTCTTCTTAAACAGGCAAATTGCTTTCCATACCGGTCCAACAGGTGACCATTTAAATAAATTTCGTTGACTATTATTTGTTGCCATGTGAATCGAACCGGGTTATCCCGCACACAACCGAATTTTGTACTATTAAATCAACGCATTATTTTTTGTGGTTGAACGGTAAATTTAATTTAGGTATCTTTTAGCGTGCATTGAAGATCTTCGGATCTTGGGATTATTTTTGTGTTATTAAACGTGTTTGCATTTTCTCTTACTTAATAGTATTTGGGAAAATTAATGAAAATAATTGAATGAATGAAGTTGGGGGATTAATGAACGCGACATGTGGAAACGCGACGGAGATGATAATAGCGATTCTAGCGGTTGGACAAAGAAAGATGAGAATAGTGAAACTCTCACTTCTTGGTTCTATTCTCTCCAATCTTCTCTTCGTCTTAGGTACCTCTCTCTTCCTTGGTGGCATCTCCAATCTCCGCAAACACCAATCTTTCGACTCAGTACGTTATATATAAAATCTCTTCAAATGCAGTGAAACTCTCCTTAAACAAAATTGAAGAGTATCGTCTTATCATGTTTGTAATTGTTACGTTTTACAAGAACAGAGACAGGGAGATATGAACTGCATGTTGTTGTATCTGGCGCTGTTGTGTCAAACACTACCAATGATAATGAGATTCACAATGGAGGCTGAAGAATACGATGGATCAGCTGTTGTTATGTTGTCAAGAGCAAGCAGCTTCGTGATGCTCATTGCTTACTTGGCTTTCCTCATCTTTCACCTCTTCTCTTCTCATCTCTCTCCTCCTCCTCCTCTTACTCAGGTTCTCTCTCACTCCCTTCTATACTACTCTTCACAATATGAATCCTCTTGTGCTGCTTCTTATCTTTTTTTTTTTGGGCAAACCAACTTTCATTATAAAGAAGTGTCGTTACATAGCAGGAGAGTTCAAAGCAGATAAAGCAGATAAAGAGGACTTGGCCAGCGCGTCAGCTAACAAGTTAGCTTCGCGAGGAACAAAGGAGAACTTAATGGATAAAAAAGAACAGCGAAGCAAGGTAATATCGTGAAGAATTCCTTGCAGCTCGTTCGAAGTGGTCTCTGTATTGAGCAGAGATATAAGGACTTGAGAGTCCGAAAAAACGATGATGGAGGTGAGTTCCATTCTAGACGCTGCGGTCAGCGCTGATTTCAGAGCTAAAGCTTCGGAAGCTAAAGCGGAGGGAGTATGGAGGCGAGTAGCCGAGCCCTGATGGATAACCCGGTGGTCCCGAGTCTTAAGAATCCATCCCATACCACAGGAGCCAGAGGAAGCGTTCCAAGCCGCATCCGTGAAGCAAAAGACGACCTCAGAACGAGGGACCAATTGCGAAGAAACCTCAGTAAGAGGGACCAGAGAAGAAGAAACCTCAATAAGAGGTAATGTTGTGGAAACAGCCTCAATAAGAGGTAAGTGTTTGAACTTATTGCCCAAAGGCGCTTGGAGCAATTGTTGAGCAAGTTGCCATTCTTTTGCTGCAGTAATGGACTTATTTAAAATTTCCGCTTCAGAGAAGGCCTGGTTTTCAAAAATTAGTCGATTTCGTGACTTCCAGAGTTGCCAAAGGATCCAATGGAACAGAGAGGTGTGAGAGAGTCCTATAGGAGGGAGGCACTGGGAGATCCGAGCCGTCTCTAACAGTTGAGCAACTGAACCAACAAGGTCTTCCCTGGGTTTCCGGTGCAGAGGAGCTAAATCCCATACCTTCTGGGCAAAAGGACATGAGAGGAGGAGATGCAGTTCTGTTTCTAAAGCTCCACATCTTTTACATGATAGATCACTGGTGATACCGCGGATAGCGAGGTTATCTCCAACCGGGAGTGCTCTGCGCTTAATCTTCCAGAGGAACATTTTCAGTTTTGGGGGAAGACGTAATTGCCAGATATTTAATTTCCAATTGAAGGACTCAGGTCCCAGAGCTCGAGAGTGAAGCTTGGACAGGACATATCCTGTTTTAGTTGAGTAGGCGCCGGATTTTTCGGGTAACCAAACCATGGAGTCCTTCTTTTTACTTGAGCTTGGGATCAGTTTGCGGATGGTGCTCTCATAGTGCGGAAGATGATGGCGAATGGCTCTTGTATTCCAATCGTTGGAGCTTGGAAGTAAAAGAGAACTGACCTTAAGGTTATGAGCAGCCAAAGTAGGAGGACCAAAAGGGACAAGGGGCAGGGCAGTAGAAAGCCAGGGATCCTTCCAAACGTTTATTGAGTTGCCATCCCCAACTGTCCATCCTAACCCTTTCCTAAGAACCTCTCTTCCTGCCATGATACTCCTCCACCCGTGAGAGCAGGAGGAGGAGATAGAGACCTCTAGGAAGGGTTTCTCATGGCAGTATTTCCCTAGCAAAACCCTGGCGAGAAGGGATTCAGGGCAGTTCAGAATTCTCCAGCTGATGCGTCCTAGGAGGGCATCATTAAATTGTGCAATCTCTCTGAAACCAAGGCCTCCTTCAGATTTGGGAAGAGTTAGCGTGTCCCACGAAACCCAACTCATCTTACGCTTCTCTGGTTTGTCATCCCACCAAAAGCGAGTAAGAATGGATTGAATTCTTTTGCAAAGGGAGAGAGGAAGTTTGAAGCACGACATAGCGTAGAGGGGCATCGCTGCTAAGACGGACTTTAGGAGAATTTGCTTTCCCGCAGCCGAGAGGAAGCGAGAGGTCCAACTGTGAGAGCGTTGGCGGATCTTATCGACAATAGAGGTGAAGATATCCTTCTTTCGCCTACCAAAATGTTCGGGTAGTCCTAGGTACTTTCCAACTCCGCCCTCATTAACTATACCCAGCTTGGATTTAGCAGCCTCTTTAACTGAAGGAGGAGTCTTAACAGAGAAAGTAATGGCCGATTTAGTAACATTGATGACTTGGCCCGATGCTTCTCCATAGCGAGAGATAATTTCCATTAGCTTGTTGCAACTTTTAGGGTTAGACCGACAAAAGAACATCGTATCATCGGCGAAGAGAAGGTGGTTGATGGGAGGGCTACCCCGAGCCACTTTGATACCCGGTAATTGGCCACGAAGTTGCGCCCGATGACAAAGACCCGAAAGCACTTCGGTACACAAGATGAAAAGATAAGGGGAAAGAGGATCCCCTTGCCGTAAGCCTCGGGAAGGAAAAACTTGCCCTTTTGGAGTACCTTTAACTAGGAAAGAGTAAGAAACAGAGCCTACGCATGCCATGATCCAAGATGTCCATTTGTCATGAAAACCAAGACGTCGGAGGACTGCTTCTAAGAAAGGCCACTCAATTCGATCATAGGCCTTACTCATGTCAGTCTTAACCGCCATAGAGCATCGTACCTTAGCTTCCGAAGTGCGCAAGAAATGTAAGATTTCATGAGTGATTAAAACGTTGTCAGAGATAGCACGGTTAGGAACAAAGGCAGATTGATTGACGGAGATGAGAGAAGAGAGCATGGGTTGCAGCCTTTTGGTGAGGATCTTAGCTATGATTTTGTAGTGTACTGTGCACAAAGCTATAGGCCTGTAGTCGGAGACTTTCCTTGGACTAGTAACTTTAGGTATCAGACGGATGTGAGTTTCATTAAGCCTCTGGGAAAGGTAGCTTGATTCGAAGAAAAGACATATATCTCGAGAAACATCTAAACCAATGATATCCCAGAAAGA